AGGAAAGAACCAGGGAAACAAGACGGAAGGGAGAGGAGGAAGAGGAGAGGTAGAAAAGTAAGGAGGGAGCTACCTTACTCATTCAAAAACAGAAGGAACATCTCGGACTGTAATAAACCCAGGTTCAAAACATTAAGTATTGAATCATTCAAGTGGCCTAAAAGTAATTTTATTTTTTCCCTTTAGTAGAAAGCCAAAGCCAGCACAATCATATTGAACTGGTGTAAATCAGAATCAAATGAGAGCAAATAATGTCCTTTAGCTGCTCAGGGATTTTTTCCTGTGGTGCTATTTAGATTATACTAAAATTCTGAAGACTTCAGACTACTCACCAAGAAAACAGAACAAAACAAAAACCTTTTCTCCAATTCCCTAGTGGAATATAAGTGAAATCAGAGTCCTCAGCCAGGGAGAAATATGTAGGTAATTTTTCTTATGTTGGTTTTTGTTTCTGTCACATTGTTTATTGGTTATAGATCTTGATTTTTATGTTATCTGACTTTTTTTTGGGGGGGTAATTAATTTCTGTCTACCTGGATTAAAATCTTGTTTTATTCCAAAAATGATCATTAAAACCTTTCCATCTCTATTTCCAAACTGTTCTCTTAGTGTCTTTTTTTTTTTTTTTTTAAATTGGACAGAGTGTGTTTGCGCTTGCCAGAGAGAGAGACAGGGGAGGAAAGTGAGAAAGCACCTCCAGTGGGGTACGATCATGCTGCAATCCCTTTTCCTCTTTCTCTCCCTCCTTGTGGGATTTTGGTTGCACCCGCACATGTGTCTGGTGTGTTATTCAAACCACCAGGTCCAGGACTCAAACCACATGGTCGGCCATGTGGGCTCCAGCTCCCTTAACCACCAGGCCATACAATGGGCCATCTCAGTGTTTTTAATGTGCATTTATTTTCTTCACAATTCTTTCAGTAACTTCCATGTCTCCCCTCTTGAATATCACAACCATGTATATTATGATTCTTTGGTTTAATCAAGGGAGCATGTTAAATACGCATACAGAGTTCAATTAATTTTCGATTAACAAACATATTTTGTGTGTGGAAGTAGTAAGTCTAACACACAGTGCTTTCAGTCTGCAAAACGCATTTGGATGGTGATTCTTTCCTAGACTTGTAGTAATTATTGAAATTATTACGGCATTCTCAAACTGGTCCACAAGTTGGTTACGTTAGAGAAATGCAAAGGTGGAAATTTGTCAGCCTTAGATTTTGACAGAACAGGGCTCAATGCACATTTGTGTGTGTGTGTGTTTATGAAACTATGTTTGCCACATTGCTGCCCATCATGGTCTCACTCCCTGGTGCTGACTCTCCTTGTTCTGAGTGTAGATGCAGAAGCAAGTTTTCTTCACCAGGCCCAGAAGTACCTGGTAAACTGTGTGGCAACAGAGATCTCTTATTAAGTGCTGTTGACCAAAGGACCACTTTTTTTTTCAGTTTTAAAGGGTACATGTGTGTGAGAGAAAGAAAGTAAGAGAGGAAAAAAACTGCCCCCACCAGGGCCAGGTCCTGCTGCAATCACTTTTTCCTCTTGTTCTCATTTCTTTTTCCTATCAGGGTCCGGGGCACATGCTTACGTGCCTGGCATGTTCTCCAAGCCACCAGGCTTGGATTGGAACTGTGGTCAGTCATGTGGTTTCTGGCTCCCTTTGCACAATCCCCAGCCACTATGCTATGGGCCTGGCTCTACATTTTTAAAAGGTTATTCATATGTTTGCCCTTGAAGATTATTTTGACTATAACATTACCAACTCTATGGCAATGGCCCTTAATCAGTGTTTGTGACTAAATGGTTTGAACCTGTCAAGACTGAAGTCTAGATGCTGATGCCCACAATAGAGATCATTCAATGTTGGTCTGCCATCTGGAGACCCAGATAGCTTGTCGCCTTTTGTTCCCTTGTACATCCTTTTTTGTTTGTTTCTTTCCTTCATTTTCTCCATGACATAAAAATAAAAAAAACAACCATCCTCAAAAGAGTCTCTTCACATTTTGACTCCCACCCCCACAGCCTTCCAGATGGCCAGGATCATGGGAACACATGTGCCTGGCATGTTTCAGGTTGACCCAGGATCTGAACTGTGATCTTCTCTGTGGCTCCAGCATTGCAGAGCAGCACCCTATTGCCTAGGGCACCATGGCTGGGCCTACACCTTGCTTGCATAGGCAAGGAATTCACAACCCTGAGGTTTTAGATCACTCTCTTCAAGAAAACTCTCGGGGCGTTATTGTTAACTCTGGTTGTCTGTGGTCTGCCAGGCCCAATTCCATAGTCCTTTTGGGCTTGAAGTAACCTTCAGAATTCTCAAATACAGATTGAGCATCAACCCCATCTGAGAGTGGGTTTTTTTTTTCTCTTTTGTTTCAAGTCTTGAAGATGTCCAGATAACAACATCAGCAGACATTTATGGCCAGCTAAGTGTTAGGCTGTGCTCATAGATTCTTCATTACGTGTCTGGACTCATTCAGTCCTCAGCATAGTCCTTTGAGGTAGGCATCCCCATTTGTAGAACAGACTGAGGTTCAGGTGGAAGTTAAGCAGCTCACCCTGAGTCACTGAGCAGTGGTTAAGAGGCCCAGATTGGCCCAACTGTGGCTTCAGAGCTTGTGTTCTTTGCCACTCTGCTCTGTGCTTACCACACTGGGTGAGCGTGGCCAGGTTCTCCTTCAGACGTGCCTCTCATTTACCAACAAAAATGGCGCATTCCCTAGACTGTCGGCTTCCCTTTCCTCCCGACCATCTGAGAGTCCACCAAAAGTATCCCTCCTCCTGCCTGCCCCAAAGGTCGTGGAAATCCAGGAGCTGAAACTTCTCCTGCCCTGATATGTATGTCCACGATTCCACTGTGTCCAGTGTCCTTTCTTGAGGATGGGCACAACAGGGTTTCTGAGGTTTATTTTGTTTATTAGTGGACACCTCATGAAGCATCCTTACAGGATGAGAATTATAAACGTCTGTCCTTCATTCACAATAGAGTGCATGCACATGAGAGAGAGCAATAGAGGAAGAGGGGGAGAGAGAGACAGGAACCCCTCTAGGGTCTGGTCCTCTTCCTTGATCTCCTTCCTCCAGTCCTCCAACTGGTGGGATCTGAGGCACTTGCCCTTGTGTCTGGTGTGTTTCAGGCTGACCAGCCTGAGGATTCGAACTGTGGTCACCACATGGAATCCGGCTTCTCCTGAGTAGCACTTTACCACTGTGCTGTGGAGCCGGCCTGAAAACTATAAGCTTTTAATGAACTTGTAGGAAAAAGTGGGTTGTCTTCCTCACAGATTTACTCATTCAATAAACCATATTGATACTATTTGTGTGTGATCTGTCCTTTCCTTTATAGTAGTGTTTCTGATTTAGTCTGAAACATAAGCTGCCTGAATTGGCTGAAGGCCACAGGCTTGGGCCACAGGCTTTGGGGAAACAGGCAAACCTCTTTGCCCAAGTTCGTCTCTGCAGAGCCCTTATTCTACTGCACTCCCCCAAAAAGGTGGCTGACACCACGACTGCAGTTAAGCAGAAAGAAGACTTTTCATTTTCTCCTTTTAGTTTGGCAATAAACACTGGCATTCTCAGTCTCTGGGGTTGTTAGACGATGCTCACAGTTTCAGTTGCCAAATTAATGCAGATTCTGAAGGCTTTAGGGAAGACTTTATTACCTTTGACAGTTTTTAAGATTTGACAGGCGTCCTATCACTTT